TACCGTAACTACTACGTAGTTACGTGTACGTACTACGTACGGTACGTACGACTACTTACGTTACGTACGGTAGGTAGGTAGACGTAACGAACTAACTACTCTCTCTCTCTCTCTCTCTCTCTCTCTCTCTCTCTCACACCACACACACACACACACACACACACACACACACACACACACACACACACACACATGCACGTGCATGCACACAAAGAGCCTCTGCGTCCATATAGCAAAAGGATCAAGACCAATGTTTGTGTCATGCTCGCAGTCCAAGTAATGGGTAACAAACCAAACTAGTAAGAACAGACGGACCACAGATTCTATCCTAGATGGGCCAGATCACATCAGCTTTCCAGGTTGAACATACAGCTCACCTGTCTTCAGAACCAAAGACTGCTCTGGATACTTATTTCTGAAGAAACTTATTGGTTCATTGGTTGTTATCTGCATAGTGGCATCTAACAGGCTAAGGTAGTTTTTCCCATTGAAAGGTTCCTCCACAACTTATGTTTTACTCAATTAATCCAATGAAAGCATGCAAAGGTTTTCTGCCCGACCCCACAAATCAAGAATCCAATATCTTGGCATTGTAATCAGATCCAACAATCCAACATTGTAAGATATCCTGATATAATTCCTTGCTCCCAAGTCCCAACACAACAGTAAGTTCTTAGAAGCACAAGGATTGGACCCCAACCAAAGGTGATTTCACAGAAGACATGAGATCAAACTGAAAGTCCCACAATTCATAGAGAAATATGCCAAAAAATTTGCCAGGTAACTCCACCAACAAATCCACAAAAAGATCGGACCTATTAATAATGTCAGATTGAGGATCTTTCATTTATCTCTTTCCCTGTTTAATTTTCCCCAAGCTCCTCTGTTCCTTGAAAAAATTTATATCAGCATGAAAATTAGGAAAATAAGTAAAAGAGAGAGAGAGAGCGGGAGAGAGAGAGAGAGATGAAGATTAGGAAAATAAGTGCATGAGGGAAGAGAGTGAGAGAATGTATCTCCCATTAGTCCTTTAATTCTGTCAATCAGTGGAATTGTTCCTTTAGTTCTAAGTTGGTGCCACAAGTTGTTTTTGTTTTTGTTTTTTTTCCTTTTAAGGTAGCTTTGGTTAATGTAAAATTTCCAATATTGTGGCACTTTGAGCAACTGTACGCTTCCTTACAAAAATGTGTACAATATGGTCTAAACAAAATGTGCAGTAATTGATCCTCCAAAAATATGCACTATGTAGTAAAGTTATTAGATTCGCTTCAGAGGCCTCATCATTTTAGCTCAAAATAGGTAGTGCTTTGGCACTTCGGCCATTTCGAGGAAGTCTTCAGATATATTGAAGTTTAAAAAATTTAAAACTATAAAATATTTTTGTAATATTAAAATAATATTAAAAATTACAAGATTTAAAGCAAATTATGACTTTAATAATAATAATAATAATAGTCCTTGTCATCATCACCATCATCCGAGCCTATCCCAACTATTTGGGGTCGAGTATACAAACCATGTTCCGCCATTCCACTCTAACAAAAGTCATACCCTCAATTAGACCATAAATTACAATATATTTTCTCACTACTTCCATCCATGTCCTTTGGGGGCTTCCCCTTGCTTTTCAGAGCCTTCCACTTGAACCAAATTTTTTCATGATTAATTTTTCAATACAATTAACATATTTATATCCTTAGAAGATCTTATCTTAAATGAGTATAATTTCAGTCATTTTAGGACGACAGAGTACACAGCTTTAGTTTCTATCCCTAAAAATGCCTTATAGTACCCCTGTGTACACGTTGCTGTTGCATCCAATGCAAAACCTTTTTCTGTACCAAACTTCCTCAAGCTATATTGGAATTTTATAATTTAAAGTAGTGAATCAATGTTTAAAGATTTCAGTTGCTTTATTCATATGTAGGCATGGTAGTCATACAAAATCGTTTTGGTACAACTTTAAAGGTAAGCCATAAAATTCAAAAATACGCTGTTATTCCATTCAGTTCATAGTTGTCGGGTGCAGGTGCGAGTGCGTTCCCGGGAGCGGGGGCAGGCTCGGGTCTGCAAAGCCGTGGATTGTTGGAAGCTCCATGTGGTTGGGATCGTCGTCCATACAATCCTATATCAAGAGAGTGCGATCCTTGTCACAGGGACGTGCGATTCCATGGGGAAGGAATCGCAACAGTATGTTTTAAGGGATCAAGAATAATGTGTGGGTTCACATGAATCATTGCATATGAATCAGTGCCAAATAGAGAAAAAATCATATGCACTGTGTCATACACTTGAGAACCGCTGCTCGAACCTGCTGGGAACGCGAATCACAATATAGGGGTCTATGTTCCATCCAAGAATCCTAACTGGAACCGCGGAATCGAGGTTCCGGAGCAGGTCCGTGACCTTTCCTACAAGGTTCCAGCAACTATGGTTTAGTTTGGGAAACCAACCAGACCCAAAGATTTCAGGTGATTTGCCCAATGCTAAAAGAACTTTATGACATTACTGGGTGGTATCATTACTAATCACAACAGTAGAGTTTCTAGTTATGCCTTCCCTAGCAAGAGAGTTCACAAGTTGGTTATTCTTGGCTTAAATGGGAGAAGGATGGAGAAACTCCCTCTAGGTGACCAAAAATATCAGAAAAAATATTGTTGAGGCACCGAGAGCATCAAGCTCTCCATGTTGCCCATTGAACATATTTGTTTCATTCCTTTCA